TCTCCTTCACGTAAGTCTTCATAGTGATGTACCGTGGCAATAAAATGTGTCCACGAACACAGCCACAAGGATGAACAAGTAATGGGTATGGAGATACATTCATCACCGTGTATCTCATGATGCCTCTAACAGGCCATCCGACAGACGCGGAAGCGCTCCTGTCAGATCCACCACAATATCTGAATTTCACATTTCAAGTTCGATTTCTCAGAGCCAAAAAAAAAGAAAATGAAGTCTGGAAATCAACGCCCCCCCCTTTCGAGTCCAGAAAATCCAGACTTCCCGCCCACGCAAAGCCACGGCCCACCAGCTATCATGTCCAACTTTGTTGGTTTTTTTTTCGACGCATCTCATTGGACGGGAGGTGGGCATCTTTACGGTCCCCGCTCGGAAACTACCAGGCCGTCGAGATCCGATCTATTCGGCGGCCGTACTGTGTCACTCGAGGCCACACGTGATCGAAATCCTGAACAAAGTGGTAGAATACTTTGCTAATGGGTCCAGGACCCCGGGGCCACTTGCCCGGCCGGGCCAAAAAAAAAAGTTAAAAAATTAAAAAATATTTTAATTAAAAAATTAAATATTTTTTATATTTTAACTTGATTTTTTATTTTAAATTTAGCAAAGAATTTCCATGTGACCCTGAGGCAAAAGTTGTTCAGTTTTTTTTTTTTTTTTTTTTTTTCAAAAGTTGTTCAGTTTTTTTTTCCTCTAAATAATTAAAAGTTAAAACTCCTTTTCCGATAGGCACACACACAGATCTCGGTCTGAAGGTGTACAAAGTTTTTTCATTCACACATTTCTCGACTGTGTTTCTGGTCATAATTGCAGTCAAATACATTCAGGAAGACCCGACCGAGCCCTCTGGTATCTAGTAGAGAGTTGGAAAAGGGAGGGGGGGGGAAAAGATTATGTCAAGTTACCAGTTGAACAGAAGGCCTGGTCATTATAGCTCAGCCTGTATTTCGGCCAACTTTCAGTCTAGATGCAGCGCTAATGACCATGCATTTGGGTAAAGACGGTGAATCCAATTTAAATTTGAAATGGTTATAAAAGAGAAAGTGGGAAGAAAGCAAAAGCACACACAATCCTCAGGGCATACTCACACCCGACCTTCTTCTTACATAACATGTTGCTGGATGTAATTGCAGCCAGATGCATCCAAGCAGGGCCAGGATTATTTTTTTTATTTTAAAGGGGCCAGTTTTGAGTATATGCTCTCAGTTTCTTTTCTTCTTCTTCTTCTTCTTCTTCTTCTTTTTTATGCTCTCATTTTCCTTACTCTCTCAATGTTGTTTTTCTCTGCCAGCTGTTGGTTTTGGGCAAACAGAAATCTGAAGTGCAGGGTACCTGGACAGGTCACCTGACACCTGGTGAAATCACAGGTACTAAGAAAAAGGGCAAAATATCCATTGCACCTATCATGGATAAAACTACAACCGCCGCTAGGCGTGGGGCCCCTGGCAGGCCATCTCTTTTTTTTCAAACGAACCTACACCATTCTTCCATCAGGGCATACTCACTGTAACTCACACTAGGACTTTTCCACCATAAAGCTCTAGTGGTCTTGATTGCAATCAGATTCATCCAGTTTGGGCCTGCGAATCCAGTCCGATGCAGTCTGGCTGGAAAGTGCTTCGGTAGCGCGAGAGTATGCCCTCAATTTCACTTTTCCTAACAGGTCCTGCGTACTGCTACTCCTGGCAGACTATCTCACCACGTAAACTCGTGCAACATTTGCGAAGCAGATGACGGGCACAAGGCCACAAACTCCATGTCATTTTTAAGCCACCCGTCTTGTTTCCCACTGCAGCCATTTTTCAGAAACGCCGCGGTGCATGCTGGCTCATAGGTGGGGATGCACCAGGCTATGGTTTTGCCCGAAGTACATCCACTGCGCCAAACTTGCATGGGCCCAATGGGGCCTTGCATGCAACCCATTTTGCCTGGACGGATTTCGGGCGAAACGGCACCCCAGTGCAAGCGACAACCCTCCCGACGCGCCCAGCATGCAAGCAAGGCCCATTTCTGCAAAATAGCTGGGAAGAGTAGGGACTGGCGGTCAAAAGCTCTGTTTTTTTCCGGGGCATGCAGCTCAGAGACCTAGACTTCAGGACACTGGCGCGCTAGGGCAACCCCAGAGGCTCGGGCCTGCCTTTGCTAGAGTCCGATGACTGAGGCTACCCATCGTTATTTGTATTGGGGCCGCTGACCCCAGTTTGCATTGAGGAAAGCACTGACTCCAGTTTGTAGGGGCGGGGGGGGGGGGGGGGGGGGGGGGGGGGGGGGGGGGGGGGGGGGGGGGGGGGGAAGACACCAGGTTGTGCTGGGGGCGCTGACCGGGCCTGAGCCCCGTTTATGTTCGAGGCGTGACCCCATCGGGGTGCTGACACCAGCTTCAGGTTGGACCCCACTGGAGCAATACCTGCCGACAACTGGGGTCAGTGTACCCAGTGCAAAGAAGTCATATAGGGTTCAGCCTCCTGATGAGTCGGTGAAACTCCGACGAAACAGTTTGTCAC